TGGTAGGTATGGTTCTGTTACACACCTGGAAAAGCGTATTATGTAAAAACAAATGTGGGGGTTTTTTAAAATACCTTAAATATACCTTACTTAAACTTCTCTTGCACAATTCTCTGAAAAGAAGTGGAAAACTGGATTGGATGTGGACCATGCCAAAGTGTTGGTTTTGTTTTTTTTTTTTGAAAAAAAAAAAAAACTGGCTTAGATTTTGATGTTAGTAAAAAGCTGGACTAATTTAATATGGACATGACTGCAGGTTGCAAAAAATCTTCTCTGAAGTATGTCATTCCAAGTACCAATAACCTGACATACTTAAATAGAGAGGCTTAAATATAAACTACTGAATACATAGTGTGGGTTTCCCAAATATTGAGAAATAAGGAGTTCTGAAGACCAGGTGCTAATCTTACGTACGATTGTTTTCTTCATACTGCTTTTTTAGTATTAGCGTTTAAACTAAAGGACTTTTTATTACATATGTCAATAGTTAAAAGGTTAGTTCAAGTTGAATTTATTGTTGATGACCAGAGCTGCAGGAACTTGTCACTCAGAAGTATTAGGAATAAGCTGATAGAAAAGTGTGGGGTTTATTATTTTAAATACTGTTTTTCAACTGTAAAATAAATTAAACTTTCTTTTTTTTACAGTATGCTTAGGTAAACCCTGTTTTTTGCCATCCCTGTTCTCTAGAAAACAGGAGTGATCCTTACAAATAGGATCATAATTGTTTTAAATAAATCGAGTCATTTACAGGTTAAGTGAAATGTTAACAATTTATATTAGTACCCCAGGAATACACCCCACCCACCCCCGAATATAGCTGAAATGAGCAAAGATTGTCAAGTTTTCTTTAAAAGGCCTGACTGTAAAGATCCCATTTTATCTTAATCAGCTTATCTTGGTCAACTGGTTCATTTTCTGCTAGGTCAGTTACCTGCTCTGCCTTGCCACATGAGTGCTGGAGTCAGTGTGAGGAATCTGTTAGAAGCAGAGGGTGGAGCAGGATTGTTATTTCTGACAGTAGTGCAGACATAGAACAGATCTGAACCGCCCTGGAACAACATGACATCTTGAAACTGCTAAGACTTGACTGTTGCAAAGAAATGTGGTAGTGGTTTGGGGTTGGGTTTTGTTGGGGTTTTTTTAATAATTGCCACTACGTCAAAATTAGGTTATAGTCTAGAAATATGAAAAACTAGCAAAGTTAATTAGATTATTCTTAAGAGACAGGTAAATTTGTGCGTGCTTCTGAGACTTACACATGGTCATGCAAATGTTCTCCCCAGCATCCTAACAAATATTATGTGATGTGACTAGCAGAAGAATCTTTGGAGCCTTTAAATATACAGAACCCTTATGTGTGAAGTGCCGGTCAGCACCTCTTTTGCTTCACCTGTTAGATTTTTGAGCTGAACTGCTGTGTTTGGAGTCTTTAACTCAGTTCTACAGCTGTTACTAGCAAAGCACTTTTCTTGTTCTATATCATCTTCTTCTGGCATTGAAAATATCCTTTTTGCATCTGTTCACATCTTAATTAGTTTTTCTGTTTTACACTAGCCACTTTTATCCTTAGTAGTGGTTACTAATGTGTAACTTTTCTGTCCTCTTTGTTTGGGAGGAGTTGAACTGACCCCCCGTGTGCTTATCTTAAAGTCATCCTGTGTTTGGTGACACCCTTTATATGATAACAGAGGTATAATCTAGAACTTCTAACCCATTTTTCAATTTTTTTGCTTCCATGTGGGATTATTGAAGAGTTCTCTGTGTACTTAAGGATGGGTGGTGGGTTGAGGTTGGTTATTTTCAGGGTACATAGGTTTTGTTTTCCACTTTGCTTTACACTTGTAGGTGGAAGATAGTATGTGCTTTTGAAGTCAGTTTTCAATACGTTGTCCATTACAGGAGCGCTGCTAGCCGTTTGGGTAGCTTCGGGCTGAGAGCCAGATTAGGGAGCCAAGAGCCTCCTCTGAGAGCTCTTCTTTCAAATATGATCATCAGCAAAGTAAAGGCAGAAAAATGTATCTTGTATACATGAATTATATGTATTACTGCAAAACCTACCCAAAATGTTGAAATAGTATCAGCTCAGAAATCTGAAAGTAGTAGCAACACATAAGGTTCATGAAAAGAGTCTTTATTTGTCAATCAGGAGTGATCAGAAGGCTTTAAGAGCAATGATCATGTTTAGTGAATTGTGTGTATTTGCTGGAAAGTTTCTAAAGTCCTGGTACTTCAGCCCTTAAAAATGAGGGGAACAATGAAGGACTTGAGGAAATTTTTTACTCTGGATTTGGGACACTGTATGAAATGGCATTTATGAACAAGCAAATGGGCATATTCATACCTCATAGAAAATCATTCCTGTATTTTTTCCACTTGTAATGCATTAGCTAAAAAATGGTTTCATTATATTCTGCATTCACAAGTATTAATTCAGTCATAGTGTAAAACAGAAGCAATCCTGCTTAGAAATGTATTATTCTAAAGGTGTTACGGTAAAGATGTGTCCAGTGTTAGTGACAAGAATATCACAATTAGCTGCCCATTCAGTGTGTAGCAGGAACAGGATCTTCTGTGACTGCATAAGCTTCAATTAAATAATGACGTTGAATACTTGTTAGAGAGGGCTTGCTTTGCTGATGAAATTTGATACACAGTCTTTAACCTGATATTCCACCCAGTTAGTAGCTCTTCGTGAGTAATGCTTTCAGAGTCCCTTGCCAACATGTTGGGAGTCATGCTTCAAAAATCTGAGTGGAAAGCTAACCAGTTTTGGTTGATGTAGCTTTAATGCAGGAAGTCAGTGGCATGAAAATGAAAATGCACATTGTTGTCTCTGCATGGATTGCACCATTAGTTTGCCATTGTAGGTTACCATTTGGATTATAAAGGGTAATTCGCATCAATACACTGAGACTGTTGTTAGTAGTATATTAGGTTACATCGGAACAGTAAGAGATGCTGGATCAAATAAATCATTGTTATAAGCATTTTATAATGCTAAGCATTGTTGATACATAAGTGTTCATTCTGCTGGTTTGTGATTTAAATATATTGAACAAGAATGACATTGTGGAGGCTGCATAGTACAAGTGCACGTTGTGATCTTAACCTCTGGATGTTCCTTAATCAGCAGTATGCATTGGTCTTGAATACTGATGTTACTTTTGTAGTCAGCATGTTTAATACAAACTAGAAATCTGCCTTTAGAAAGTTTACATTAGTGCCGTCATCTCTTTAATATTTGTGTCCCTAGTGTGCAGTTTCCTTATGCTTATAAAGGATGTAAGATGTACAAGTGTAGAAATTTCCTTGATGTTTGGCTTTTTTTTCTTGAATGGTTTAGATTCTGTTTCAAAGTTCTCCATCTGGAAAGTAATCTCTTATAGAAATGTGGTTTGGGCCAGGTACTTTAAGTAAAACTAAAGTTGATGCTTCTTAAGGAAAATTTGATTTTTTTTTTCTGTATCTCCATATAAATTTTATCAATCATATGTGGGGTTTTTTTTAATGGAAAAAATTAATTGGAAACACAGGGATGGCTTATAGTAATAGATGTTGACTCTTCTAATGCCCCAGTAAATTACTTTAATTTCTTTAATGAGCATGAGTCCTAAAGATCAAGTAGTTGAATATTCTGCTATTCTTCAGAGGCAGAGTTAAAATAAATTGCTATTCTGAGATGATTTAGTTATTTGCCTATTAAAATAGAACTTGTAATAAGGTCTGAAATCTCAGTGATAGTGTCCCCTTTATACACGTTTAAGGATACTTCTAAAATTTAGATGACTGCAGCTACTTGGTACCTAGATGTATTATTTTCTTCTTACAGAAAATATAAAGCCTTTTTTTAAATACTCCTAGAGATTGCTTCACATTCACTTGATTGTTTGACCATACAAAGACTCTGTCAACTTAAGTACAGTTTGACAAAGAGAAGTAGCATCTTGGTTATCTGATGTACCACTGAAGTCCTGTTGTAATTCTTAGAAGACATCTGCAAAAGTCTTTTGCTGTAGGCTGAATATCAGGTGTACAGTGGATCTGTAGATTTTATTCTGCCCCCACCCCCCAGCAACCCATGTAGACCCCAGGTCATCACCTGCTTGAGATGATTCATCTGTAGGTCAGCAGCAGAATGCATCTTCTGTCTTTGCCAACAGGTCTGCACTACTTAGGGGTATTGGAGCTCACGAAATCAATGAAGAAATAAAAGCATTTTCTTCTGAGGCTATCAGACTCTGGAATGAGCTGCCAGAGGGACACAAAATTCAGTCACTGTTAAGACATAGTAGATGACACCTTTTCTTTTTGATAAACCTTTCCTTCTGAAACAGCATGGATTAAAAATAAGTGCAAATGTCTGAAACTGCTTTTCATAGGAAGGAAAAGGTAAATATTTGATGTTCTGTGTATGGGAGCCTTTCTGAAAGTCTCTTAAATACTAGACCAAAGGCACAGTGCAGAAAGAATAAACATTTAAAATGTAAATGTGGAAGGTGTTCTCGGGGCTGTCATTGATCAGTTTCTGCTACTTTTTTTTTTTTTTTTTCCCTTCTCCCCCCCCAGTGTTGTCTTACCTCAGTTTGGTAATTGTGATTGTCATGCTAGCCACTTAGATGAAAAAAGACTGTATTGGAGCTGTAGCATTAGTTCCTAGTTGTGGTAGAGGCATGAAAAAAGCTGCATCTAGATGTTGAGGTGATGTCTGTGAAAATACTACTTGCTAACTTTACCTAAGGAACCATGAGTCTTTCAGCAATTTTTCTGGTGTTGATAACTCTTTGATTCCTGATAGGTTAGTGCTGTTAGGCTATCAGCTGTCTTTTTTTAAAATACTTTTCTTGATTTTGTTCATTTGTCTTTATATAGAAGAATCTTTACAGTCAACATGTATTTCTAGATGCTGTGTTAAAATTGCTGGCAGAGTCTATTATTCTATACAAACTGAACAATCTGGCCCCTTGTTTTATTTATAAAGGTTCAATGTATCTTTGCCTGCCTACATCAATCTGCAAGGGAGTGTCAGAAAGGCCCCGCATTCGCCGAGCCGTGAGTTATCAATAACTTTTCAGATGTGTTAATGAATGTGGAACAAACGCAGTTATGTGTTTAAAAAAAATATGGATCCACCTTCTAAAAAGCAAAAAAAGGAAAAGCAGAACTCAAAAAAACTCTTTACTGCAGTAGCAGGCATGATTATAAAGGGATTGCTCTAAATTTTTAATAGTGTAAGTATAACTAAGCAGTAAGGTTGCCCTCTAGAAAACCTATTGTTGAACTGCTTTGAAGCTGTCTTTAGCCTGTGGATTACAGGTTTTAACGGTTGTATCCTGCAGGTAAATTAAGCATGTGGTGTTTTTGGAAACTTGCTTGCTTAATAATCTGAAACTTGGCCCATCTGAAAATGTTATATATTAGCATCCTATGCATAGAACTGCTATTTTAAATTCTGATTACATAATAGTAAGAAAGGCTTGACTAATAAGATACAGGTTTTTTATTCCCCTCTGTTGTAGTTACCTCAGTAATGAATTTGGCTTCTTCAGTTGTTTGTTTCAGGTCATGAAGCCGTAAAAAACTTTAATGACTGCAAAATGTATCTACATTCTTTAAAATATTTGATGAAATGGAAAAGGCTGCTATCTGAACTCACTGTATGTCTTTCCCCCTCACCCCCTCCAGCAGCCCTCCTTGCTTCAGTAATTCACCAGTAGGTTTTCAATGACTAAAGATTTTAACAAGCTGTTATGTTTTTAAAAAAAATGCATAAACAGTTACGTCCTGAGAGAGATTAAGGTGTTTTATCATGCCTGTGTCTTAACAGGAGAGCCATAGCAGTGGTCTCTCTTCTGAATCTCAAATAGCAACAATTATGTTATGACTCGAAGGAAGACATATTCCTGCCCTCATCCTCAAAATACCAGCTGGTTACTTTGTTCTGAAGACTTTAGGTCTTGCTCCAAGATGGGGTTATTTAAACTTGCAATTGGACCTCAGTGTGTGGGCAGGTTGATGCTTCTGCTGATGCAGGAACTACAACCTGCCATGACAAAGATATAATTAAGATGTCCCCAGCCCAACAAACAGCATGTAGAAAAGAAAAAAAATATGGCTTATGATATGGAGATATGCAAACATCTGTAAAATAATTTTGCATATAGGCTATGTACATGTATTTGACTCGCTTTTTTTCAGGTCTGTAAGCATTTAAAATCATTCTTCTGCCAACTCTTTATGCTACTCCCATCAGAAGTAAGAGGGTGCATTGCATCCAAGAGCAAAATCATAAAATGAGTATCAGGTGGGATTTGGTGAAGACTCAACGTGTACCAATTTGTGTTTATGAGGCTGCTTTTATATGCTAATTGTTGCATACAAATACATCATTATTTCATGCAAAATCTGAATAGAACGTTATATAGCTCATTTAACAAATGCTGTTGCAGCAAAGTGTTTTTAAGCTAATGCTGTCTTTCTGGTTTCAAGCACTTTTCACACTGCATTTTTGAAGAGGAAGTGTGAGAGGATTTTAAAATAGCATTATAGAGCATTAAAACATGTATTTGTGTTTTTGGTGTCATTTGGCAAAGAAGCATACAGTGTTTTAAGTTCTAGTTTCCATAGGCTTTCACTATGTGACAGGGCAATGTTAACGCTTTGCATGTAACCTGCAGAACATGTCTGGCTTCCCCAGATTTCTAACCTGGAATGTGTTGATTTCTATATTGCAGGTGACACAACCCGTCAGCGAATCAAATTCAGTGATGACAGAGTGTGCAAGAGCCACCTTCTCAACTGCTGCCCTCATGATGTGCTCTCTGGAACTGTATGTAGCTAAATCTTGTGTTTTATTTAGATAAGAATGGAGAAAGAGAATTATATTTGTTCTTAGTAATATCTCTCTTAACTTCACGGTTTTCAGCAAGTATCTATCTAGTGTTCTCTGGTAGTTTAGAGGAACTTTTATAAACAACTAATTTATGGGTTATGAAATTATTTTTTAGAAGTTTCCTGTTCTATATGCTAATTATTACTTACAAATTCATCATTGTTTGCTATAACATAAAAAAACCTAAAATACATAAGGTTACTTACATGAATTGTGCTATAGCAAACTGGTTTTAAGCTGGTACTGTTGCAGCTAGTAGAAAAAAAGGAAATATAATTTATGCATAAACTGCGAAGTTACTTTCTTAAAACGTTATGTTGCAGTGAGAAATTATCCTGCAAATATTTGTACAGGGAAGAGAGGTCATCTTTCTTCAGAAATACTTTAGTGAAAACAGGTGGAAGTTCAAATAATTTCATTCTAGAAGCTGAGATATGTTGAACATGATAGTGACACTCAGTGTACAACTTCCAGTTACTGTGCCATTTTCACAAATTATAAGGCAATTTGAAAATCTCCAAATAACTTCACTTTTTTGACTTGGATTTTTGTGTGCTCTATAGTAGAGGTTCCTCTGCCTGAGCATAGCAAAACAAGGGGCTTTGGTGCATGCTGGTAGCTTTGTCAATGACCCCGTGCTTTACCTTGTGCTGCCTGATTAAGGTAGCTCATTCTTTGTGAAAGGCAGGTAAGTTATGTTGCATTGATTATTTAACCTAACTTTCCATGGTGTTAGAAGAATTAACAGTAGAGAGATGTAGTATGATGATATGCAGAGTCTCGTGTGCCTACCATTCTTAATGCTGCACTTTGGTAGCTTTTCTTATTCATGTTGGCACATTTTCTTACCCTGTGGCAGAGGAGAAAATAAGTACTGGAAAAACTGTCTTAAGGATTATTTGAAGTGTTTATTGGTTCTCTGTGCTGTATCATTCCAAATGGCTAACTTGACAGGAGCCTTTAACGAAATACAGAATGAAGTTCATTTGCAAAATCAAAAACTGAAATATGTCGACTTGGTAACTGATTTACCTGTCAGCTGGCCTCTGATATGCTTTCCAAGTAGCTGTGATTTTAAATTAACCATAACATTTTTGGTTGATCAGAGGGCTTCAAACATGCATGCACACACTAATTTTGTTTGTTTGACTAATTTTGGGACTTGTACTGACAGATCAGTAGTTACAGCCTGTCCTTCCCTCTTCTTAAGAGTCCCTGCAAAAGTAGGCACAAGTGTAACTGCTAAGAAGCACAGGAAGAAGAGACCAAATAAGTGGTAGAACTAGAGAACTTAGCATTTGTCTTAATAAAAAAGGCAATGAAATAGCAAAAGCCCACTTGTTGAGCTTCTTCATAAGTCTTGCGGCTTCCTAGATTTTTTTTTCTATCCTTAAAGACACTCTTTTCTTTTGTATAGCAAAGTTGTGTCATATCACAAAAATCAGGTGTCTTGAAGTTAATGTAGTGTGTTTGGCATATGCTGAAGATAATTCACACTGAAGATAATGCATCTTGCACATATTTCCTTAGCTTTAAGTCATTCTTTTAAAAAAGTGATAACAATGTTTTGTGTATCAGTGCATATGTAGTTTTGTTTTGAACTGTTCTGTGCATTACTGCCCAAACAAAAGGGGAGAGTGGGTGGGGAGGGAGAAGAATGTCTTCTTCACCCATCTGTCATGTTGTCCAGTGTTTTGGTTGTGTGATGAGCAAAATAGCTCATGGTTGGGGGGAAGATACGGGACATAACAGTATGCTGTAAAAACATACAAAGTCATTGGTCAGAATCCACAGGAAGACACTGTTAAAGGATTAATTTGACAGCTTTTAATTGTGGTCTAATTTCTATAAGCAAAGATTTCTAGCATGACTGTTGTTAGCAAGTAAGAAATATTTATCTGTAGAACTGTTAAAGTCATAGGTGTCACGCAATAATGCCTCTTATGGTGCAGACCAAGCATGTAGGTTGGGCCTGTTTACCCAATTTGTTAGTCCTCACTGAAAGTTCTCATCTGTCTCATACTGGATTCTGCTGCTGCTGCTCTTGTAGTACTAAACTAAACTACATATTCAGTGAATATCAATCTCTCTTTTTTTTTCTTCGTCATAATGCATTTAGTCATTGGACCACAAAATGTGTTCCACAATGTAATTCTGGGTCCAGAAAAACAGTGACTAGTTTAATACTTTCAGTGGGAGTAGTAGAAAGGGACTCCTAAGAGACAGCTTTATCTGACCCATGTGATGGTCTGCTGTTTACCTAGTCATGGGTTTGAAGAAATGGAGCTTCTGTGTTAATAGCACAGTTCTTAGAAGAGCAAGAACCATGTAGTGTGACTAAACAGTTTATCATTGATTTGGAAAATGATTGTGGAGTTTTCTCCAGAGTTTTGATAGGAAAATTTTGATGCATCTTCGTGTTCAAGATCTTTAGGTAACAAAGATTGAGTGACTTCTTTGTTTGTTTGTTTTAAATTCAAATCCAGAATCTTACGCCCCTGAAAGAATAAGTTATCTGGAGACATTTTATGAGGTTAAATCTCTTCCTAGATTATCAGTAAAATACTGGACACTAATTGCCATTTTTTTGTGTCACAAGATAATCTGTGCAATTCTGTGAACTGTATATTTCTGTTCCTGTCTGCAAAATCTAGACTTCTATGCTATTCCAATCCACCCACTCTTTCAAAAGCACTCAAGGAGGACATTCATAGATAACCTAAGACAAATGAAATGACTCATATGAGTAGGCTCTGTTAATTTATTGTGTTCTTTTCCTTCACGGCCAAATACCCACAACTCTTGCCAAGGAATTGATTTCCCTTGACAATAAAATCATGTTCCCCAGGCTGCAGTGTGTATTGGTGAAAGTAATGCATGTATACTTTTCTTAGAAGATTGGAGACTTTCTCTTTGTTGTCCAGATTTCTGCATATATTATCTCTTGTTAGATGAAGTGTGCGCTTATTTTTAAGAATACTGTATGAAGTCTTTTGTTATTTCTAGACTTCTCCGGAATGCTTGCAGTAGGTGTTTTCCTCAAGTTTCTTTGATCAGGTTTATCTTTTGGTTAACATTACAAACATTTCAGGGAAAAAGCATCCATGCAAATTACTAAAGTTTTTAGTTTTACTAGGAAAATTCCATCGTCTAGACTGGCAATGATGCACAGCTTCCTATTTTTTGAGTTTTCTTCTGCACTTCTCTGTGTCTTGCTTCCTCAGGGTAGTTTGTATTTAGAGGAACAATAAAGTTGTCTTTAAAGGAATCCTAAATATTTGACTTAGGAGTGTAAAGCCATAAGAATTAGCTGTATTTTGAAATTTAATTCTTTTTTCTGGCTGCTGTTGCCAACAGAACAGTTCATTCTGTATCAGTTACCCTCTTCTTCCACTTCTCTGGATAGACTTGTCTAGTTGTCTGTTAATGAGCTTCAATTGTTACGTACTTAAATCAGGAGATTTTGGTTACATTCCTATTTTATTTCATTTCATTTGGGGACATGTTTTTGTGCTACTAGGTTTCTGGTTTTGTAGAATTGAAAATTCTAAGTCACACAGTCAGATGTGTCTCAGTACCTGCAGGAGATGATTTTTGTGTCGCTTCGGGGAGAGACAGGGAGAGTGTGGGTTTGGATTTTTTTGTGGTCTGCTTCTAGGGGCAGTGGGAATAATGAGCTGCACAGAAGGCATAAGTAGAATAGTGAGTCCAACAGCAAAAATGTGAACAAAGATAAAAGGATAGCATTCTCTTCCAGTTTATTAAATTATAATTCCAAATCTGTTGTGCTCTGTGATTATCTCTTTATTTGAAATGCGTTTTGAAGGTTGTGTGAGGCACATAGTAAACTGATTGGTAAGATCATAAAAATGACTTTGTATTCAAGGTTGTAGAACAGTGTCTGTTCAGAACCTGCTTTTGACAATGCCTCTTGCAAAAGCTCTTTTATTTTTAACTGACTTTTTTAATGTTTTGGTGCTCTGCTTTTTCATAATCATCACTTGGGCACTGGTTCACATGCGTAAGTTGGTTTAAGAGTTTACTCATTCCTTTCAAGTTGAGAATTTTATAATGAGAGATTAGTAAGACTTTGGCTACTGGGGCACAGTGAATAATTTACCACTTAAAGTTAGCAATTTTTATTTAATTTTTTTTGTTTTAAAGTGTTAACACTTTAGCTTTTTTTATCCTTAATAGTTGCTGATGATCAGGCTTAGTGCTTTTTGTGAGTTGTTCCCCTCCCCTCCCTCCCCAAGCCATCCATGGTTCTTGAGTTATTTTTCATCAGCATTACAAAAATGTTTGTTTATATTTATCTATATTATGGAATTAAGACTGAAGCTACATAGGTAGGAGTCATCTGACTCCCCTGTAATGGTACAAACCTATTAAGCAACATTCTTTGGATGTAAGCTCTGTGCTGTCTTCAGCAGGTGTTACAAGATGTGTAAAACTGTGTTTTCTCTCTCTTTGTATGTTTCTGAATGAATAGCTGAGTACTAATGAAAATTACAAGGGAAGGTTTAAAGCAAATACCTTTAACAAGGTTAAAAGTAGTACTGTCCTGAATATTTATAGTAAGCCGCTAACTATCTTTGAAGAGCTCAAGCAGTTCAACACTTCTGCAGCAATCCGGCTTTCTTGTTAGCTTGATTGTGCTTCCCTGCTGAAAAAAATTCACAAATACCGTATGTGGTCTTGCAAACCATGGTTGAGAAACTCCTTTCTGCTCAGTGGATTAACTTTGTGTTTGTATTTATGTGTATTTGTTGAGGAACATTGCTTCTCCCATTTTATTTATACAGACCTCAGAGTATGCTCTGTCAGCTCAGTCCTGCAGTTAAGCATATCTTTAGGTGCTCATGAATTTATTGCACTCAGCTCTTCAGGACTCTTGCTGACTAAAATCATATAGATTGAGACCTTGGTTTAGCAAT